AGACTGGCAGCAGCAGACATGCGGGGTGGGGAACTGGAAGATTATTTTTTGTGAAGCACCTCCTAAGCCTCAAGAATATGTCATCCCCTTTAATCCTTGCAACAACCTTTCATGCCAGGTGCAATCAGAAGCCACATTTTTCAGCTGAAGAAATGAGTTTATCTCAATCATGTTTCTCTCAGTTGGAAAGATTAACTAAATGCCCACACAGCTAGTGAGGAGCAGAGCTGGGATTTGAACCCAAGCCTGTCTGACTCCAGAGCCCATGCTTAAAAATGGGAGCTCCCTTTCTCAGAAAAATAATGGTGATCAGTGGAACATACCCATCTAAGTGTATTTTTTCCCCTCTGCATCTGACTACATCGGAGGCTGTATATTTTTATGCATTGCCAATGTCTGGTAACCCTCCCCTACACATCTGTGAGTGTGGGCTTTTTTATTGTCATATTCTAATTCTCACCTTCCTAATGGAAATGCAGTTTTTGCACATGAGTTTGAAAAAAAGGTATGAAGTCGGGTTAGGAAAACAAATGCCTGAATTTTCACCTGGTGTGACTCCTGCTACCATCTTCTGTCTAGCTTACAGGGGTTACGTGAGGATCAAATGAGATGACAGTGATATTTGTAGTTACATTTTGGCTTCTTTAACTTAATCACCAGAATAGCTGCAGTGAAGATCATCACACCTAGAGGCCAGCTCCTGTGGTTGGCTGTCTTCCTGGAACTTGACTTGTTTTCTTAAAGGTATCAGAAGTTATAAGCTGTGAGAATATCGAGTGTTAAGTATTTCACGGCCTTGGCCCTGGTTAAACCACCCCCAGCCAGGCGGACTCTCACTAGTGAGAGTGACATTTTGTTTGTCTCTCTACAGACTCTCGCTGGTGAATATTTCCATAAGGCTGCCCAAGGAGGACACATCGAAGGAACTTTGTGGTGTTCCCTCTACTATATGACAGGCAACCTGGAGACATTCCCTAGAGATCCTGAGAAGGCTGTTGTGTAAGAATCTGTCAGTTGTTGGGTCTGAAGGGGAAGCCATGTACTTACATTCACCAAGCCTCAGAAAATGGAGTTCCTTTTCCTTTGTTTTTGCATGTTTTAAATTTCATTTTTATTTTTATCAGTATGCATGTACATAGTTTAAAAATCCACATAATTCGAGAAGCAAAAATAAATAAGTGTAATTAAAATCAAATCATCTGACAAGAAAGAATAGGAAATCTCGGCCTCCTCCACTCCAGACTCTGTTGCCTGCTCCCAAGAATAAATCACTTTCTATCATTTATTGGTTTCTTTTTTGTTTACCTCTATCTTTAAATGACACACTTACACCACTATTTCTGTTACTTTCACTTACAGGCATTGTCTTCCTGCCCTCTCCCATCTTCCTAATGAGCATTTCATTAGTTTGGTTAGATTGGTATCAAGGTTTACATTATCATGACCATGTAAATGCTAGTCACAGCTGAGCCATGTAGTATTTTATAACTACTTTTTCTTTCTTGCATAACTTTTTAGTTTCTGTGGAATAATCACATTTCATTTTTAACTTATTTATTGTAAAGTGATTATATTTGATTGTTCTTTAGGTATGTAGCTTCTATGTACTTACCATTTGCTACGTACTTGATCTCCAAATTCTCCTGTAGTTGTCTGAACTCTTCTCAGTATGGCAAGATCCACCAGCCACCCTATTAATTTAATCTTCTTTGCAACATCTCTTCTGACGTCATTGTACAGGACAGGGCTCCCCTCCTGAAATTAACTTCCATCATCATTATGGGATTCCCTTTCCCTTTATCTCTGTCTTTTTTGGTTCTCTTTGCTACACTCTGTTTCTTCCTCTTTTTCAATTTATTCTTACATTTTGGTACAGCATAGCCTAATGGTAGCTTCCTAAATAACATGAGCAGAAGGCACATTTTTGAGGTCATACGTATCTGGAAATGTTTTATAGGGGTTGGCAAACTATGGCCCACAGGTAACATGTGGCCCACCACCTGTTTTATGTGGTCCCGAGAGCTAAAAATGCCTTTTAAGTTTGTAAAGAGTTATAAAACAAGCAAACACACAAACAAAGAAGAACATTCAGCAAAGACCATACATGGCCCTCAGATTTTAAGACATTTACTGTCTTGCCAACAGAAAAAAGAGTTTGCAGACCTCTGCTTTAGACCACTGTCACACCAATAGTCTGGCTCTCTAAAGGTGGTTTTTCATGACATTTGAGAGCAAACCCAACCTGACCTGAACTCAGTGATAAAACTTAACTTAGACTTGAGATTTTTTATCACTGTTAGGCTATTTGATATGAACATTTGTATATTTCATGGCTTTTACTGGTATCTTTTTGTATTGATTTCTAGCTTAATTCCACCATGATCAGAGAATGTATTCTGAGTGACTTCAATCCTTTGTAATTGGTTGAAGCCTGCCTTATGACCATCATATGGTTGATTTTGGTACACCTTCTTATTTTGTTACAGTTTACATTTTGTATCTTTTTCCATCCTTTTACTTTCGAGCTTTCTCTGTCCTTTAATTTTAATATATGTTTCTTATAAGTAGCATATACTTGTAAGCAACATATACTTGGGTTTTTGCATCTTTTTTATTTAGTCTGACAATTTTCGTTTTTAGTTGGTATATTTAAACCATTTACATTTAATATAATTATGGCTGTATTTAGTTTTTAAATATACCTTTTACTATTTATTATTCCTTATCTGTTCTTTCTGTTCTTTGTGTCCTTTTTCTCTTTTTTTAAACTTCCTTTGTATTAGTCAATTGTTTTAAAAATTCTATTTCCCTCTTCCATTAGCTTTTAGTTATGTACTCTTATAATAATGATCTTTTAATGGTTGTAAGCCTAAAAATTACAACAGACTAGGTTATTATTAATAAACCTCTCCAGGAGAAATTATGGGACAGAAAATAATAGGGTAACCTTATAATAAATCAATAAACATGTTTCAGTTGAGCAGTACTGGAACTCTTGGTGAAGACTGTCTTTCTCCACACTGGTGGTACATATTTTTCATTAGGTACCTTTCATTTCTTTGTTTCCATAAATGACAACTCCTAAGCATCTGTAAGAAAGGGCACTGATTGCAAAGCTCTCAAAATGTATCCTTTTTTACCTTCTAAACATTCAGTTCTGGTTTGTTGCTCTATAAAAATTCTAACAAGCAAAATATTCCCCCAGTGGGATTTATTGAAGTCATATAAAGAAAGAAAAAAGCAATTATCTAATTTGCCACAGTTTGGATATTTTCTTTTCCCTTTTCTTTTCAGATGGGCAAAGCATGTAGCTGAGAAAAATGGCTACTTGGGCCATGTCATTCGCAAAGGCCTCAATGCCTACCTGGAAGGCTCATGGTAAGCTTGCGATCCACGTTAGAGTGAACTTTCTCAGCCCATAGCTTCAATCTGTCAGTGCAATCTTATGAGACGGAATCTTAAAATGCAACCAAAAAAGCAATTTGCAGGGAAATCATTGCTTCCCAGCAATAGTATTCAGAGTATCACAGACTGATTGGCTGTTGATTGGAAAACATAACATCTCCATATTTAATTATGGACAAAAATTAGTTCTCTAGGGGGAGCGTCCACGTTCATCAAGTTGAGAGACACGAATGCACTGACTTCTCATTTCTTTCGAAGATGTTCCCTTGATTTTAGAGTCTGGCGATGGCACAAGGGATCTTAGCTGACCCTCTGCCTCCTACTGGCAGACCACAGAAAGGCCAGGATTTTCTACCCTGTCCATGGGAGGAAGAGAGCAGCGTTTTCAGGGCTCAGGCTACATCCTTCCAAGATATTTTACTGCATCTTCCATGGCCAGGAGCCTGGGATTGCTGGAACTTACCAGCCTTCAGTGTCACAGCCAAACAGACTTCCCTGTCCTAACTTTCTTCTTTTGGAGATAGCAAATCTCATCCTGTACTCTATAGGTTAAGGCACCACATAGGAGGACTTGCAAATGCCCCCATTTGCTATTATTTTTTTTACAAATAAGGGCACACCTCTCCAAACTCTGACTCCATCTTTTTGTTTTCTTTTACCAATCCTAGCACTCTTGTCTTATTTTTCCCTTGGGTCACATTTTCTTAACTGGCTTATTGCCTTAATGATCTAGGTATTTCAGTAATAACTAAAAAAGGGTCTGCAAATCAGCACATATCCGTTTGGTCCACTGCCTCAAAGACATTAGATCAGACTAATCAGAGATTATACTCTGGTCTGAACACTAATTAAAAATTAAAATGGAAGTCCAAAAGAATGCCATTTTCTCCTTTGGTCCATGGGTGCCCATATAGTCAACAGATAGCATTTCAGTGAACAATAATCTTACATTAAAGAATGCAGAGGAAATGAACCCAATGAGAAAAGCACCAACTAAAAATGTTTATCATCATCTTATGAGAATTTATTATCTGTGGCCTCAATTTGCATAACTGAAATAAAATTTTTTAATGAAATGATTATTTTCCAATGACACACCTTACCATTTCTGTGGTGTTTTATCTTGTTTTCCAAGTGAGCGTCAGTTCATAAAACTCCCAAATTTGACTTTAATTCACTCTATTTCTCAGCTTCCAAACTTCCCACCCCTTACTCCCACAAGCTTCTTAGGAGGAAGTAAGCATTCAAATATCAAAGTGTTCATATGTGGGTTTTCCTAAAGGGAGCACATCTGTAAATACATCCCCCACCCCATTCCCACTCAAACCAAGATGTCTAAACAGTTTTTTCCATAAAGAATATATCTATTAATAGCTTAGCTTTCTTGCCTGCTTTTGAATTTAACATCACAAATGCTTTTGAAGCACATTTTAAAATGTACTGTGAAGGCTGAGATGAATTAAGATTTTTGTGCTCTTTTATCCTTAGAATATTCAGCCATGACATGAGATTGGTTTTTTTTTTTTAACCTTGGTGGATACAGGGAAATTAAGTGTGTTCTACATTGTCCGTGAGTTTGGGTTCAGCTCAGCAAATTTTACTGAGCATGTGTGAATGTAGGGTGCCTTGCCCAAGCTGCAGGGCATGCCCAAGAAGGGCTTGGGGGGACTTGCTTCCTCTCCTCTTGCTCATGCTGTACTGCCTGCAGTGCCCAGGTAGCCCACATTCTGTCCTCCCTCTAGGCCTCTGCACTTCCCTCTGCCCACAAGTCCTGCTTAACTCCTTACTCCTTTCTGCCCTTCCATGGATTACAATTGCTCTTTACTTGAGGGTTGCCCTGTGATTTGTATCCCAGTGCCCAGCACCTAGTGGTACCTGGGAAATGCTCAAAAGCTACTGGATGAGTAACTAAGATGCATAGATAGAACAACTGCTCCAGGGCCATAAGCAGTATACACAGACCATCAGGGATTCTAAGAAGGAAAAGATGTCATCTGATTTGGAGGATTGGGGCCAGACTTTATGATGGAGGTAACAGAGGATATAGCCTTGAGGGAAGGATAGAATTTCTACTTAGCCATGCAGGGAACAGCATTTGTGGTGAAGGGAATAGTGGGAACAAAAGCAAAGAGATAGGAGAATTCTGGGTGAGTCTAGAAAAGTTTAAGCCATGCAGTTTGCCTTGAAGGTAAGATTTGTAAAAGGGAGTGATGTATAACTAGATCAAAGAGGAAAGAGGTGCTGCTTTATGGAATCTTGAATGACAAGTCCTATATTTTTTACTTAATTTGAAGCAGTGGGGAGCCATTGATAGTTTTGGGAAAAGGTAGTGACATGATAGAGGTGGGCTGCAAGATGTTGAACAAAACAACTGTGTTTGATGGTAAAGAGAAGGGACAGTCTGAAAGGGGGAGCTAGTTCAGAATCCAGCTAAACAGAACTGAGCATTGGGAGATGTGCCATGAGCCAGTTAAGTTGTTTTTTTCTTCTATCATATAATAATTGATATGTACAAAATAATATGTAGTGTATATGTAAGTCTCCAAAGCAAAACAATAAAACAACACCTATAATGCTAATTGAGAAAATGAACTGTTGAAGCCCTCTGCATTTCCCTCCAAGATTAAACCTACCCCCCCAATACCCAGAAGTAACCATCATCCCAAATCTTGTCATTGATTTGCCCCTGACTTTCTTTATAGTTTTGCCAAAATGGATATATTCCTAAGCAATAGATTTTAGTTTTCCTTGTTTGTGAACCTCATATTATTAGAATCCTAGGTAATTTTCTTCAGCTGTTTTTTTTACTAGACATTATGTTTCTGAGATTCATATCCCTTAATGCACACACTTGTAGGCCATTCATTTTTTTCTACTGTCATATACCACAATTTACTTACCAATTCTCATATTAACACATATTTAGGATGCTTTTTTTTTTTTAAGAATAACATGGCCATGAACATTTTTTTACATATATCCTGGCACTCATAGGAAGAGTTTCTCTAGAGCACTTAGGAGTGGGGTTAGGAATAGGCATATGTTTGACTTTACAAGATAATGCCAATTATTGTCCAAAGTGATTTTACTAATTCACTCTCCTGCCAACCATGTATTCATTTTTGTTTCTCCATATCCTTGCTAGTCTTGATGCTAATGCTGAATATTGTTAAAGATAAATCTCACTCTGGATTCAAGGCCTTTTCTTATCAATAGAAAGAAACATCTAGTATCCATTCCAATGGGAAAATCTTTGTCCACATATATTTGAAGCAGAGGGCTCCTATCTCCTTGGTACGCCAAACCTCCAAACCCACCCCAGAGGTTAAATAGGAAATATATGAGTGTTGGCCTCCCCATACCACCACGTGGCTTTTTTTAGTACCATCTATTTTGCTGTAATAGAACTAAATCATCCATCAATGTCCCAAGTCCATCCCCTTTTTTCATTTTCTGTGAGTGAATTTATTCTGGACATTATTTTCAACTTACATGTGTCAGTTTGATGAGCTTGTGCTTTTCTGCGTTGTTCTAAGATTTATATGGGATAGTTTAAAAGAGGAGCGTGATTGAGGAAAGGGCCTTTTGCTGCATAGGCATAAGATAATGTTTTCATGCCTGAGGCTGTCCTCGGACACCAGGAGAAGTCAGCTAAGGAGAGGCAGGCTGTCATGTTTCATTTCTGTCTACCTTACTCCCATGTGTTTTATCTGAGAGCTAGGTGTTTATTGTCCTTTATCTTAAATGTATCCCAAATATTAACCCAAGAGGTTAGCCTGATTATACTGGGTTTGAGACAAGATAAGAGCATGCAAAGCTCCCATTGGAAGAGATTCACCTTTTTGGAGTAGAGCCGGGTTTCTGAATTCCACTGAGACCCCAGGATTTTTTTCATCCATCCCATTTGAGCTGCTTCAGGCATTGACAGAAAAGAGGCACAGAAAAAATTAATGCAATTGTTTGAGAAACTGCTTAGAGGTGCTCAAAATTCACAATTCACAGCAAGCAGTCACAGGCTTGATTAGTAAGATCTATCGTTATAAAAGTTCTATAAATGTGTATGCCAAGTCTGAAGTGGAGGGGTAGCCCCTAAACCTGTTCTTTGCTCTAAATCCCTTTCTCTTCTCCTCCATCTCCCACCCATCCCCGTCAGAATGACTGTCCGGGGGAAAATTTCACTTCAGTGCATTGGAAATAAACTGAAGCTCTGGCTGGCTTCCTAAACCTTGAGGAAGTTCACGGAAGGACGGCACAGTTTTGTGTCTTGTCTTTGGGCTTCCTACCCACAGCAAGCACTGAGTAAACCTGTATTTCATGAATATAAACATGGAAATATCTGTAATTAATACTTTGATGCAGTTTCTGTTGAAACACAAATAAGAGTAATGTGCTGGGAGGCTAAATATGGGTAGGGTTTCTGTGGAGGTATTTTTTTCTCAGAAGTTTTAATAAGCTGAGAAAGTCTGGTCTTGAATGTTCTAGTCCCCACCTATAGTTCACTCTTAAATATACGAAAATGGTGGTGGTGATATGGAGTGCACTGACATCTGATGATTGCTTCTGCAAGGTGGAAGACAGAGGTGATTTCCATTCGGTACTTCTATTGATAACGATGTTTTTAGATATATCTTTTTGATGGCTTTTAGTGCTTCCTCAAAGGAAACACTTGAAAGCCCCATGAAATGTCCTCCTGACTGATACAGTAATTGGACAGTGGAAATCTCCTATAAAACTTACTCCTCCTTGCCCTCCACCCCCACCAGAGTAACTTTAGAGACAAAGTATTATTTTTATAAAGGTTATCAAAGTGAGTCTGTTCTTTCAGGCACTGTTTACCTTATCCCTTTTCCCCCACCAAATTCTAACAGTCTGCCAACTGCTGTCTAATAAAAACTCATTTTATTACATTTAAATAACATAAGCCACAGTCCATTTATTAATGGTGGCAGAGAGAGTCGGCTTGATGTTTGACCTTGAGCTGGCAAGTCTACACCATCTCCGTCCCTCCCCATTCCTGGGGAAAACCAAGCACTGGGGCCAACCTGAGTGTCTCTGAAGAAACTTGAGATGATAAGACCTTTGGATGGTTCCTTACTGCAGAATGTTAGGCTTCCCTTGCAGCCCCTCCGTCTGAGCTCTGCTCTGAGAATACTTGTCACCAAACGTAATTTTGGCAGGCTGTGTAAGATAATGCCTAGGCATCTTTTGTGGTGTTGCGGCTGCAGCTGTGGGCTTGTTATCTGGCTTGCCTATGCAGAGGGCAGTGCATAGCCCCCCTCGTCTCCCTTTAGCATGAGTCATGGCTAATTGGTCCAGCTGCCTTGGTTATCTTGGAGGCTGAGAAACAGCTCACTCAGCAGCTACGTGGCTCGTGAGCTGAAAGAAGTCTGACTGAAGGTCTGACTGTCCTAATTTGACCCCTAGTCACCTCTCTCTGTCCCCAAGGGATGGTCTGTCAGAAGCTGCTAGTAGTATAGAAAAGATGATTTCAGAATCTTCTTCCCTTATTCCCACAAGCCCACCTTCCCCAACTCTTCCTTAAACCAGTCCCTAGGTGAGCTAAATTGAAGAAAGAGTTCTTACTGTTAAGTACTTAAAATGAAAAATCAGTTTCAGAAACAACTATTTATAGTTAAAATAATTTTTTACTCAGAAACTGGGTAACAGAGAAAATAGGGGAAATCAGAGAAGTAAAAAGAAGAAAATAAATATTACTTGCATTCTCACCACCTACAGATAACTGCTGTTAGCATTTTGGTAGATCATTTTTAGGTTTTATTTTGTCTCTGCATATGCGTATCTCTGTGTATAGAGTGTGCATTCAGTTTTATTTTGGTCTTACAAAAATGTACTTTTTAATTCTGCACTCCCCCCCATTGAATGGAAAATTTGCATAAACATCTTTCTACGTTCTTGCATACTCTTCTGCAACATTATTTTAATGGCCTCATCTGAAAATGGTTGCACTGTGGGTTAATTTAACTGTGATTTTCAGATGTTTAAGTTGCTTCCAATGTTTTTTTATTCATATAAATAGCTCTACTATGAAGTCTGTTGTCACAGAATCTTGGCACATGTTTGTGATTATTTCTTTAGAATAAATCCTCACAATGTCCCCCAACAGGGAGACCTGTTGGACCAAGTGATACATATATGCATTCTTAAGACTTTGCACATTTAACGATAGCAGTGGTTGTAGGAGTATGTCCATTTCCCCAAACCCTTGCCATTACTCTATATTATGAATGGTGTACTAGTCTTTCAATAGTTAAAAAGTGATCTCCCATGGTTTGCAATTATTCAAGTAGTAGTGGTGTCAAACATTAGTTTTTTTCATGAGTTTTTGGCCATTGGTAGCAAGCCCCCCTCATAAACTGCCTCTCCTTTGCCAAACTTCTAATGGACTACGAAAGTGCAGCTTTAATTAAGCTTGTTCAGAATCCTAAGCCCTGTAAAGTCCTTCACAAAACAGAGGACTCAAAGGCAGAGGGCTTTTTCTTAATACCATTTTTCCTCTCTAAGCCAGGATGGAAGGATTTAGGGACCTAAGGCTAATAGACAGCAGCCCAGCCAGCTAGCCATACACCATCGGCCAGTAGAGGTAGCTGTTGTACCAACTAGCTCTCCAACCTTCTCTCTTGAGTTCAGCCTTTAAGACAGAAAATAAATCAGTGCATGCAGTATTTTTAATAGTATTTATTTTTTAAAAAACCTCATGATTTTGTGGTTTTTAAAAAAAACTGCTTATTTTGTGCCCTCTTATGTTTGAATATAAAGCTCTGTGAATATTAGTAAGAGCCACTATATGAAATTTATTATTAATCGTCTATTTTTAGGCATGAAGCTTTGCTGTATTATGTTTTAGCAGCAGAAACTGGAATTGAAGTGTCACAGACAAATTTAGCACACATCTGTGAGGAGAGGCCTGTAAGTAAATGTATTCTTCTCAGAGTAAAAGCTCTAAAGTTAAGGATAATAAATTGGATTTTATGGAGGCAAAATTAGTCACTTGGCCGAAATATAAATGAATTAATTTTTTTCCCCTTTTCCCCCTTAGGACCTGGCCAAGAAATACTTGGGTATTAATTGTGTTTGGAGATACTATAATTTCTCTGTTTTTCAAATCGATGCTCCTTCATTTGGTATGTATAGCAAAATGGGTGCTAAATTGAAGCACTGGAAGCTTTTAATCTTTAGTACACAGGGAACATCTAACAGCTTTGTGTGAAGTGTGATATTTCTAAACAATTAGGAAAGAGACTGAAAAATATCTGCCATTAAGATCATGACTGAACTCTGCTCTCAGTCTCAATCAATGCGCTGCTCGTACATTATCCACTAAATGCTTGGACCCACCATTTCTTGAGAGCTGGAGAGAATTCTAAAGAGAAAGCATTATGGAGATTCTCTGGGCCAGTCATTTACCTTTTTGCCCTCCGATGTTTTCCTCATCCTCCTGTGCTCTGCCTGTATGGGAAAGGGCTTACCCCAGGAGCTGCAGGCTCCTTTCTTTGTGTGATTAGTTTCAGCCAATGGGAGGAGCTGGCCAGAGATGGCAGGTTGGGAGCTTGTGAGAAGCCCAAGTATTTTTCCCCTTTTCTCTCTGCTTTGGGATGTATCTCCAGCAACGGCCTCATCTCCATGGCTCCAGCTTTGGTGGTGGCAGATCTAGGCAGGGTAACAGCGTGGCCCTCCATTGCTGAGCTCTAGGCTGCCTATTAGGCATGTGACTTTCAGCTCTTCCAAGGCCCTGGTAACCAATTCCCAGTGTTATAATCCTGCCTTTGAACTCCTTGACATGGAATCTGTTTCTGATTGGACATGGAGTGATACACACACTCTTAAACAAAACTTTTCCTTGGAGGAAGAATGCACTATATGGCTTAAACAGAGTAAAAGAATGCCCATCAGTCATGAAGCCCAGGCAGCAAAACTTCAGATGTGAAATAAAGTGCCTCCAGCCACATTGGCTGATGGGAGTGTGAGGTTGCAGACTGCACTTCTCACAAACAGACCCATTCAGGAGTGCTATGCACAAAGGAAGAAAATGTGTCTAGAAATGGGGATGCTTGGCACAAAGCCTTTTTCTCCCCTTCTGACCCCAAGGAAACAATGATGTCTGTGTCCAGATTCTGACAGGAAAAATGCTCAGTCATGTGAATGGGTCCATCATGTACAATGTTGGTCTGAAATAAAACTACTTGACAAATGGACCTGTGCTTTTTGTCCTGCAGCATATTTGAAAATGGGAGACCTTTACTACTATGGCCACCAAAACCAGTCACAAGACCTTGAGTTGTCTGTGCAGATGTACGCCCAAGCAGCTCTGGATGGAGACTCACAGGTAAACAGCAGACGTGAGCTCCTAGCAATGCCCGTTCGTGAGGCTACAAGGACTTGAGTCTTCAGAAGCCCCCCCACAACCCCCTCACCCTCCATCTATATCTGCCTCACAGTTTACAAAGCCATTTCTCATCCATTGTCACAAACCCCTCACAACAACTCTACGAGGACACTAACCATCATGGCAAGTCTTTATGAAGCACCTACCATGTTTCTCACACCGTTCTAGCAGCAGCCTCCTGAAGATGGGATTTATTATACCCATTTCATAGTAGAGGCAACCAAGACTACAAGGTGATAGAAAGTTCAAGGCCCAACAATCAGGTTGTAGGTAAAGCATTCAGGACCCAGGTCTTCTGGCTCCAAGCCCAGGAGTCTTTCCACCAAATTCCATCAAACTAACTCTCCAGGTAGAAATTCAAGAAACAGGAAGTGTGGTCAGACTGGGAAGTGGTTTGCTCGTATAGTTGGGCCAGCACTTCAGTGATAGGACTTTGCTCTCAGTGACTTTTTAAAAAACTTATTATTTTGGAATATTTTTAGATTTATAGAAAAGTTGCAGAAACAGTACAGAAAGTTGCCATATACGCTTACCTAGCTTCCCCTATTGAGAATATCTTGCATAACTACAATATTGGTGTCAAACTAAGATATCAAAGTTGGCTTGATACCATCAGGTACACTTCAGACTCTAGTTGGACATCACTCATTTTTCCACTAATATCCTTTTCCTGTTCCAGGATCACACCCTGCCTTTGGTTGTCATTTCTTTAGTCTTCTTTAAACAGTAACCGTTTCTCTGTCTTTCCTTGCTGTCATGACCCTGATGCTTTTGAAGAACACTGGTTGGGTATTTTGAGACTGTGCCCTGATTTGGGTCCATCTTCTGTTTTCTCATGAGTAGAATGAAGTTAGGCATTGGGTAAGGGAAGCACAGAAGTGATGTGTTCTTCTCACTGTATCATATAAGGTGTACATGATGTCAGTATGTCCTGTTAGTGATCGGGCTTATCTCAATCACTTGGTTAAGGTAGTTTTTAACTATGAAGTTAATATTTTTCTCCCTTTTAATGTATAGATATCTTGGGGAGATAGTTTGTGATTATTTCTTCTCTAACTTCTGCCTGCTAATTTTAGTATTCTTCCTCAGATCTTGCCTGTGGTAATTGGTGCTGCAATGTGCTCACAATGATTCTCTATTTCCCTAATTCTGCATTTGCTCATTGGAATTCTCCTGTGGGGATCTTAGGATCATTTTCACAATAGAAGTTGGGAAAGTTGTCCCCTTATTGTGCAACAGGTTTCTGGTGGTACATTTTGGGGTCTGATCACAGAGCAAAAGTTATAAAATCATCCTATCATAGTCTTTTTATTTTTTTTAAGGAAGTACTACATATGAGTGCTTTTTTGTAGGGATTAAAATCCCTCATCTCTATCACTTCATAGCGATTTGTAAATGGCAAGTCATATATCACTGAGTCTTTGCTTCTCATTTGTAAACTGGGGTTAATAATAGTATCTGCTTCATAGGTTATGAGGATTAAAATATTTAAGGTAAACTTCTGAGCCCTGCAGTAAGTGCCTGGGATGTGATCTATTCTATTATTACTTCTGGAATGAAATAGGAGTTGGTGCTAACAGGATTTGCTATCAAGCCAAACTTCCTTAGGCGATATCGGCTGTCCCTTGAAATTAGCCTTGAACTTTTTTTTTCAACTCCAATTGTTATTTTTTGGAAAGACAGCGTTATGAAAACATTAAAAGATAATTTTAAAATAAAATAAAAGTTAAAGAATGCCCTCACAATTCCATGACAAGAGCTTTCCTCCTTCCTATCTTCATGCTCCCTTCTCATCCCTGCCCACAGGCAAGTGCACCCCGGTAGTGTTCACTAGCATGTGCATCCCACTTCAAAAATCTGCCTCCTCTCACATATTATAGGAATGTGTGCATTTTATTGCCTAGGCTGTGTAGTGATTACTTAACCACTGCCTCATTCTGTTGAGCTGATGGACTATAATTTATTAAGCTTTCTCTTATTGGGGGACATTTGTTCTCTCCTTTGTAGATTTATTCATTGATCTGTTTATTCAGTCCTGCTGTGTCTTAGACACACTTAGTGGTGGGATGTGAGATGAAAACATACATAATATTCTTGCCTTCATGGGATTTATAGTCTATGAGGGAAGACTCGAGTACACTTTCCTATTGTGTTGCAATTATAGCTAGTGCTACAGTGAACACTTTCATATTTTCATCTTTATCTCCATTTGAATAATTTCCTTAAAATCTAAGGGATACTATTACTTAGTCTAAATGGTTTGATGGCTATATAACAGTATATTACTGATCTGCTTTCTGAAAGGGTTTTCCAATTAATCTATCACCAAGCAGTATGTAAGTATAGAATAATTGAAGTCTTATCTGCACTGGATGTTTTCATGACTTAATTTTGCTAATTGAGTAATTATAAGTTGGTACTTTCTTACTGCTTTAAATTGCATTTATTTGATTACTGGTGAGGATGGACTCTTTTGCATGTCCTTGTCTCTGATAATTTATGCTTCAGATTTGTTAAGTGAATTCTCTATTCTGTACCTGTTTATCGATTAGAGTTTTGATACTGGTTTTTTTTCATTTAAATCATAATTAGTTCTTTATACATTTGCCCAATAGATAATGAATCTTAAGCTACTATGTTGCATACAAATATTCCCCTCATCTATTTTCCCATTTATTTTAATTTTGTTATTTTTCCATTGTTCAGAGATACTAAAATTTTTTTATTCTTCTCTTTTAACATCTCGAGTTTTAAAAGCACCTTCCTTTCACAGAGTGGAGAAAAATTCTGTTTTCTGCCTCTGTGTGTGTGTCTTAAAGACAGTTAACACTTGCTGTTTGGAGGTTGGCTGGCAGCATGGGAGGTTAAGATTAGAGACCCTGGGTCCTGTGCCTTAGTTTCCTCATCTGTAAAATGGGGAAGATAATAGTACCTAGCTCAATTTGCTGTTATAAGGATGAAGCGAATACATATAAAACAGAACAATGCCTCACATAGCATGCACTCAGAAAATGTTAGCTGCTGTTACTTTTACCATGATTATTGTATAGGATGCTTTTGAGAGTCCTAGTGTATAAAACCCCAGGGGATGGTGGTTTCATTTCGATTGTTGTCTGTGGCAATGGAAAGGAGAGGTCGAAAAGGATCTAAGTCATTAAAACATGATTATGAACTCTCTGAAGGGCAACAATCCAGTGAAATTTGTAAACCCTAGTGGTAAGTAACATATCACCTTTTGTTTATTTCTTCATCTGGCCACATGCTCAGCTCAAGATGGACAGTGCATCTCCTCCAGGTAGTATAATAGTTTCCATCCATTATAAGCATCTCTCTCATCAGACTCTTAAGTATGTTATTTTATTGGATCTGCACAACTCAGTGAGGCAGGTCCTTCCTCTGAGGCTCAAGAACAAGGCATATGAGGAAGAGGTGTAGAAGTAACCAGAGTAGAAATCTGTGCCAAGAAGATGGTGATAGGAGGTTTTCCACAGTGGCCGAGGAGAGATGAGACAAACACCCACCCATTATTCCCTGCATGAGAGATTCTCTGCAGTACAGTGTCAGTCATGAGTAGCACCGCCAGCCACAAAACCATTTTGTTAGATTTCTGATGTGCTGATGGTGACCCAGAGCATGCAGCCCGTAAGCGATGGACATTTGTCTTCTGCTCGGTATTCTGGTTTTGTTGATGATACAAGGGCACATTTTCCAATGAGTTCTGTTTTGAGAGAGTGAGCAGGGAAGGACAGATCCCCTGGTTGACTGACTTCTGAGCAGATGGGACACAGCATCCTCTGAAAGCCTCCTGGTTCTCCTGCACATAAACTTCTCAGATGCATAGAGTTAGAGAAACAATTCATCAATGAAGATGACAAAACCATCTGGCTCAAGGGGCTGAAAAAGAAGTCTAAAGGTTGCAAAAGCTTACACTCTGACAAAGGGTGTGTGTCTGGGTTTTATCATAAGGAGTTGATGAGTTTGGTTTGTGGCTTGTTCTCAGGGGTTTTTTAACCTGGCCCTGCTAATTGAGGAAGGTGCTACAATTCCACATCATATTTTGGATTTCTTGGAAATTGACCCAACTATCCATTCTGATAACATCTCCATCCTCCAGGAGCTGTATGAAAGGTGAGTTCAGAGCCTCCTTAATACCGTGGAATCTGGGAGAACCCAAGAGGGTGATGTCTGCTTCTTGGCTGAAGTCAGCCTTCCTCTTACTCTGTAATGTCAGTTGTTACAAAAAGGGCTCAGGATTCCTGTCGATCAGAGAGAGAGCACTGAGCTAGACCCACACTTACTTCCCATTTCTAGTATCTGAGGCTTTAGATACAGAATCTGCTTGGTCTGAAGTTAAAGTGCTGACCAAGGTTTTCCACGAGAGTGGAAAAAATAACGTATCCGATTAGACAATAGTTTTCTGCAGGATAGGGAGGCATTCCAAAGCTTGGACTTTGGGCAGACACTTGGACGTAAGTATCCCTCTGGCAGCCCCTGTGCTTCAGGGTCCTCCTTGAGCCTTTGGCTTTTTATTAAGCACAAGACTGACCTTTTTCTGAGATTACTGCCAGGACCCTGGAATTTGAGGGCAGGCCCAAGCCCCTTAGAACTGGCCTTATTTCTTCATCTCTCATCTCAAGTGTGCCCATTTGCCCAAAGCAGAGGGCGGTGGGTTTGATGATCTGAAAGTGCCAGTCACGGGTAACGCCGCCAAAGTTCACCAGCACGTCAGGATGCCATGTGCTTTCCGTCCACAGGTGCTGGAGCCACAGTAGCGAGGAGTCCTTCAGCCCCTGCTCCCTGGCCTGGCTTTACCTTCACTTACGGCTTATCTGGGGCACCATCCTGCACTCTGCCCTGGTAGGTACAGTCCCCGCCAGCTCTGCCCTCAGAGTCCCTGGCCTTTGTCAGCCACCTGACACGTGCTTTGGATTTTGCAGATCTACTTTCTGGGAACTTTCCTGCTGTCCATAATGATTGCCTGGACTGTGCAGTATTTCCAGTCTGTCTCAGGTAACTTTTATAAAAAGCCAGGGCAATACAAAAAATCGGGGGGTTCTTTTTCCCTACCAGAAAGATGACACTGTCCCTCCTCCTGCCCTTGGCCATGCTATTTCTTTTCAGGAGGATAGTCATTCATGGGGTGGGGGTATCCCCTGGGGTGTATCATCATCTCTGGCTGATAGAAAGTCCAAATTATTGCTCTAGTTCTCAAAGCAAGCAAGAATTGTTCAAAAATAAGAAGCTTAAGAAATTAAACTAAAATATTTTCACCGATTGAAAATACATCTGGTATCAAAGTTCTACCTCTGTGTGCCTTAAAACCCAGCTCTGAAGCCCCCTTCAGCATGAAGTGCTCCTATTCACCCCAGTCAAGGAAGCAAATGTGTGGGATGGTAAATAAGCACTCCTGATGAACAAATCACCCAGTCACATGGATTCAGAGGGCAGGGCCAAGGAGGAATATAAAGTGAACCTTTGGTTTACTGTGCTTCCGACTAGTCATGTTTTTTTTTTTCCTCAGCTCATGTAGGGCAGTATTTAAGGAGGACATCTCCATTGATTTGGGCTTAGGGTCCAGGCCTGGCTACTTGTTAGCTGCGTGACTACAGTGAGTTATTTCACTTTCCTGATCTCCCAATTTCTCATCAACAAAATGACGTTCTAATAGTAGCTCCTTCCAGGGATGCTAAAAGGGTCCATAAAATAACTATGCATGACACTTAGCAAAGTGACTACTATAGTTAAATCTTAGCTATTATGTTTACCTGGCATATAAAACTCTCTCAATACATGTTAACTATTATGCTTATCTCCCCTGTTAGACCATAATCTAGGTCAGAGGAAGGCCTTACTCCTGTCACTTATGCTATCTCACACTTAGTAGGTGCTCAAATTTACAGACATCTCTCAGGGGAGAATTACAAGTTTCCACCATCTTGGATGGCTGCAGAGGACATAATCCCTCATCAAGACCAACAGGGTCATTTATAAATGGGTAAATTAGGATTGGACATGGCCTGTGAGCATCCTCACAGCCATTATTTGTGTAGCAGGCAATGAAAATCAAAAGGATTTAATAGTGAGAAGGAAGTCACTGTAGCAAGAGGCTAATATGGAATCATTTCCCTCTGATTTACCTGAGAAGGTGAACTAGGACCCATCATAAGCCCTTCCAGGTTTGATGCCCTGTACTATGCTGGCTTATAAATTTTCCTCATGCAAATTTTGTGCCATCTCTAAATTTGTTGCCAGGTATAGCACATTTATTTTACTTGTCAGTGTTTTCCATTTCAAATTATCTTTGTCATTTTTATTCTGTAGAAATATTGTTATGATTACTACAAATGCAATTCCGTTAGAGGAGCTGAAAATTGTCTTTATGATTTTACGCCAGCTGGTAGCCGTGAAAATTCATGGGCTGGTGGAATTGTTTTGATCAGAAGTTGTCTCTTTTTCCTTTCTTCATGTCTTCATTATCAGTCCCTCCACATCCTTGTCTCCTTGTCCCTCCTGCTCTTTGGATTACCTTCCCCTTCCTATGTATCCTCTGCTCTCTCACACATTTGCTTCATTGTTTCCAAATTCCTTCACTTGCTTCTTGCTGTGCCTACCTCCTTCCCTGTTGACTAGCCTTAGGGAAGTCTGGATGCGATCTTAAAAATGATTTAATTCCATGCCCTTCATTTTACAAATGAAGAAATTGAGGTCAAAGGGATGAAGTGTGGGATACCTAAAATCACTAAATAAAGGAAGCATGTAGGGCGGCATAATTTTAAACGTGTTCAGACTCACAGCACTTTAAAGTAGCAGTTGCTACCTCTCTCTGACATTTTGTCCCCTTATGTAAGAAATATTCTGTAGTACATTCTTCACTCTGAAATGAATGATAATTAACCTGCTTACACACACATTTTAAAAAGTAATGCCCTAACAGTAATATAAAGGAGAAATAAAAATAAACTAATCATTATAAAATCATATGTATTATAATATGCAAATTCTAGCCTGTGCCTCTTAATTCTAATGTGCATGTGAATCACCCCAGGCTCACACAGGTTCTGATTTGTTAGTTCTGGGGGTAACTTCTGAGATTCAGCATTTCCAGCAGGGTTTCAGCTGATGTCCACATTGCTGTTCCATGGGCCACACTTTGAGGAGTAACAGCCTAGGGGTAGAAAAATAAATAAAATAATTCTTCACATACTTCCAAAATATACTCCCATAGCAGTGCCTTTGTTAGAACTAGTGTTGAGTTAAAACATGTAGTAAATTATTTTCATATTTTTAAAGTCCTCGACAAAAATGCAAATGTGTCAAAAACTTTGGAATAAAAAGGTATTCCATCAGTGATTGCGTGGTGGGCAGGGGCCAAAGAGGCACAGAACAGGCTGCAGGGAGCCTGCTCAGAGGCATGGTTTCTACCACTGGTGTGTCTGGAGGAGCCGGTGCCCATGACCTGCCCCACGGGGCGGGGGCGGGGAGCCTGGGGTTGATGCTGGCAGTAGATGCATTGAGAGGCAAACATAGTGATGGCCTCTGTGCTGACAGACTGAAGAAGGACGGGCCCAGAGAGTTAGGAACCTCCCTTAAGTGACTTTGTGTAAGGATTGTGCTGTAAGTTAGGGATCTTTGTCATTTTGTGACTTGCATTTTTCCAGTTGGTTGTTTTTAAAAATTAATGATTTATGATCAGACCTTTAAATTGAGCTGTCCATCCATTTTGCGTTGGCTCCAATTGCGTTCATTTTCCTCCAGAGTTTATGTGCTCTGTGATATATAGCCAACACTTCACCATGTTTGCCACATTAAATTGTCCTGTGTTCATAAGGCTAAGCAGTGCAGGACAGTAGTTAAGAGCACAGGCTTGGGAGTCAGGTGGCTGAGATTCTGGCCCTGACCCTCACTCACTGTGTGACCTTGGGCAAGGGAGGGTATCTGGCTGTGCCTCAGTTTTCCCTTCTATAAAACAGTGAAAGTAGTTGTACACCTTCCTCCTGTTGTAGTTGAGAGAACCAAGTGAGATAACACAATGCAAGAGGCTTAGAATTCAACAAACGTTGGCGGGTAGCTCCCCAGAAGTAATATCCTCGGGGCATTTTACTGCAGTTAAAGCATGCTGACACCAGGTGGCGCTGGCCCTTACCTAGCTTGCTTTACCTCAAGAACAGACACAATTACCAGAAACTAGCATGTTTTTCTATATTGTTAGACTCTTTATAAAACAAAAAACCTTTTTTAAAAGCATCTAAACAAAGATATTGACTAGTCTATCAAGAGAACTGAAACTCATATGCAAAAAACATTGCACATCTCTTTTATTTCCTTTGAGAGAGCTTGTTTTTTGACTCCTCGCTGGCCTTCCACCAGGCAGCTGGGTCTCCCTCGGGGCTGATGTCTCCCAGGTCGCGCAGACGTCCCTGGGTGTTGGCTAGCGCAAGGACCACTCACGTGGTCATTGGTCTGACAGCAGTGCACACCCAGCCCCGGCATCTGCTGCCCCTCCAGGCCCACTGACTTTGCAGCTTTTGGGTCACCTGGGAGGCCTGTCATCTCTGCTAAAGCTGAGCACCATTAGCTTTTTTTCTTCCAACTCTTCCTTCCTCAAATAGCTACAGGACAAGATGAGGGCTCTGCCGCAGGTACAACCCACAGCTGGGCTCAGCCACTTTCCCAGACTCCAAAAACCCCATTTTCCTGCCTCATTGCATCTCTAAAGCCCTCTCCATCTCCTTTCCCTGTCAGAGGTGCCAACCGTAATTGCCTTAATGGACTCAGGCTTTTAAAAAAACAAAAATTCCCAAAGTATCTCTACAACCATCTTCATTTCTGCCCTGCCACAAATCTCCGCTGAGACAGAAAAAAGCACGGAGCCTGGCTGGCTGCCTGTAGAAAGGTAAAGGGGGGAACAGAGGGAGAGACTGGAAATTACCATGTCAAAGAGAGAGTCCTGCCTTAGTGGTTTTAGTGTAAACTTTATATCTAAATAGACTGCACACTATAGACCAAGATCTGCAGGATCACCAGCTCCCAGGTATGACTAGTAGCTCTTTAACCACTGTCAGCCTAATCAGAATGTTCATAATTTCAGCTGATGCATCCTTTCTGCCCAAATGGTTAGCCTAGTGGTCTTTTTAAAAGAGTAAGATGGTATGAACAAGATCAATTAAACCGTTTCCTGCTCTTTTCTCGTCCTCCATATTTCCAGTTAATGAGGTTGCTACTAAAATTACAGGAAAATGTCACAAAGTGGTGCTCATGAAAAAAAACAGTAGCCTTAAAGTCAGGGCCATGTAATGGGGAGATGTGACTTTTTTTAATCTCATGAGCCTTGGTGCCCATGCAGTAGTTCTACTCCTAAGAAATGTTTAGGTGACATGAACCTCATACTTACCGTGGGCTCTGCTACATCCAGGGGCCCAAATTTAGTAGCATGTCCCGAGCATATGATCTCCAGGGTTTCTCCCTGGCTCACTGCCTTGTACCCCATCTTTGCAAACATCCTACTACTGAGGATTAACACAATATACTCCCTTGTGTTCTTTTTTCTGTTATGCTCCCATCTGGTCAACTGGCAAGCAGACATTTTTCCAACAATGGTCCGTAACAGAGGTTGGCAAACTTTTTCTGCAAAGGGCCAAATAATAAGTGTTCTGGGCTTTGAGGGCCATCTCTCTCACAACTCAACTTTGATATTATGTGAAGGTAGTCATTGATGGTATATGAAAACCAATGGATATGACTGGTTTCCAGTAGAACCTTACTTTATGGACATGAAAATAGGAATCTCATGTGTTTTTCACATGTCACGAAATAGTGGTCTTCCCTTGATTTTTGTTTATCCATTGAAAAATGCAGAAACCATTCTTAGATTGTGAGCCATACAAAAACACACAGCAAGCCAAGTTTGGCCCGTGAGCTGGCTGCAGTTTGCCAATGCCTGGTCCACAGCACTTGGGGCCAGTGCTTGATTATTTTCACTAATGTACAGAAAATGGTCCCCTGAGCAGCAAGTAATCCAAAATCACTTCATTTGGCTCCGGAATATACTCTATAATTTTTTAAATAGCACACTTACTTTCCTGGCTACCTTGATTCTAATCCTGTAATCAAATTAGCACATATTCCAGGTGAGCAGAGACAAAGAGGCGACTTTGAAGTGATGATGGGCTGTTGGGGGCTTGTCCACTGACTGCAAGCCCCCCAGTGGAAAGGGAAGAGTACTCACATGGATAATAACAAACTTGGTGTAGAAACATGGAACATTTTTATTAAGCTCTTTCAAGAACATTTAAACTGTGGCAGTACTAATGTGTTCCTTCCCCATTTACACATTGGCACTTTTTTTGTTTTAATCAGAAAACTGATTGCAGATTTATCTTGTTACCATGGCAATTTAAACATTTCCCTGAGCTTGAAAAGGAAAAATACATGCCTTAGTACCTCATTTACTTCCTCAGAGATCATCAGAAAGATAAATCATAGGCCCAAGGGGGTTTTGGACACCATCTGATCCAAGCCCTTTACTTCACAGAGAAGGAAAACAGGCCTATGAGATTTAAGCATTTCTGGGTGAATAAATGATATTTATTGGTGGATAAATGATATTTGCCTTGACCAGCTCTCCTGACTCCAGCAAATGGTCTTTGTACCGCATCACTGGACCTCATGCTTCTTGTCTTGGTGAGATCACCTGCCAGGGCAATGCCTTTAATCTAGAAATGTCACGTCATTATGCCATACAGTCTTCTGTAGCTATCTGAAGGAATTCCTAGGAGAATTTCTTTATATATCCAGCAAAGCCAGAGGCCTTGGAGCCCATTCCTGAATTTCCTAGAATGGCCCCTTAGAGGTGGTATTCTTGAAGAGTTTATCTAAAAGTCAGATTGTCAACATGTGATGACATCTCCTTAAAAGTCAGTGCATTTCAGGCTGGACATAGGCGAACCTTTAAAAATAGATTGCTGAGCTTGGTGAAGATCACTGCTTAAAGACAAACTAACAATTGTTTGCCCCAACTATGGCCACTGTGCTAGCCATCTGTTACGTATCCCTGCAAACTGAACCCATTTTACAGATGAAGAAACTACAGCTCAGGAGGTTAAGTAACTTGCCCAAGATCACTCAACTGCTGAGTGTCAGAACCATGTGACTCCTGGTCATTTTGGCTTCAAAGTTTCTGCTGCTTTCATAGGCTACTGGGGCCTAAAAGAAAACTGTAAGGATCCCAGAAACAAATGCACCAACTCTTTCATCAGCCCTGCAATCTGTGTCCCTGAGATCAGTAAATCTTAACACATTTCCATGGCACACCAGGTCACTGGTATTAATAGCTAACATTTGTTGAGTACCTAGGCATGCCAGACACTGTTCTAACCACTTCTTTACATTAACTCATTTAATCCTTATAACAAACAACAAGGTACAGAAACTATTTTGCCTATTTTATAGAGGCAGAAGGAGGGGTAACTTGTCCAGGGTCACATAACTGGTAAAGGGCTTAGTAGCTGGGTTCTAGAGGCTGCAAGCTTATTAAGCACGACATCTGCAGCCTCACTGCCTGAAGTAGGGTGTGTTAGGCTCAGTCTCAGCACTGTTGATACTTGGAGCTGGATCATTCTTTGTTGTAGGGGTCTATCCCATGCATTGTCCCTTAGCAGCATCCCTGGCCCCCACCCATTATATGCCAACAGCAATCCGCCCTCCCATTGTGAAAACCAAAAATGTCTACTGACATTGCTGACTTTTCCCTGGGAGTGAAGAAGACCCACATTAGAAAATCATTATCATCAAGTGTAAAACTTTATAAGCCTCCCTAATGTTGGTGGTGGTCCTGCCTCCTTACTAAAGGTAGATAGCTAAAAATTCAACCTAGTAATTATGTTTTCCAAAACTTAAACACATATATTTAAATAAAGTAACTTAAGCCAACTTTAGTACGTCATCCAAATGGGCTATGAATGTGAATAAAACCAACTGTCCTTTCTGATTGATGGGGATAATTTACAGCTAGCTTTGTATCAGCATCATGGGAAGAAAAGAGATGACCACAGATGCATAGAGAGTTGCTTTTTTTTCTTTTTTCAATTAAAATATTTTCCTGGAAGTCACAACATAATTGCAGAACTTAGAGTCTCTTAGGATGTCAGAACCATCAGAGATCTTTGCACATCTATTGTAGCCTACCATTTGATAGAAGGGGACACCAAAGTCCAAAGAACTGAGATAATAGGTCCAAAGTTGCTTATCTAGTTAGTGTCACGGCCCCTAGACTAGAAGCATCTCTTGGTCTGCTAGGGTCTAGGTGTGGTTGTGCATCCTGCACGCACTGTTGAATATTCAGCACCTGTTGTATGTGTGTCTTTGCAGCCAGCGGTTCCCAGATGACACCAGCCCAGACCTCCTCAGACCCAAGTGCTCCCCCTGCAAGTGCAGCTGGGACTCTAGGTGCAGACGCCTCTGCTCAGGACCAGCCCACAGTAGCCAATAACCCAGAGCCACGTGGGTGAACTGGGCATCCCAGGTCTCTCCAGATGAGAGAGTCATTTCAACAGCTGGTATTGGAAAGCTGGGGACAGAGCATTATACTGATCAAACACCTTAAATGTCTTGTCAGCTGGATGCGAATTTTGTACTTGGTGTCTTTCTTTTTTTTTAATCAAATTACAAGGAAATACCCAGAGCAGACAGAGGTTATGCCAAAGGTTTTCAAATACAAGGAACATTCTGATCAGAGGGGTGTGTCTGAAAGGTTAACTGGGTCATTGCAGACACCCATTCCTGGTGATTGTGTGTGGGGAGTCACAGATCACCCTGAGGCATATCCAAATCCTTACACAGAGAGATGTGTTTGAAGAATTTAGCCCGAGTTTGTTGCCTTTCATTAAAAAACAGAAAATTGTGATTTCTCTACCAGTCAGATAATATTGCAGTACATGTGTTTGCCACAGCCCTGCTCCTCGAAGTCCAATCGACAGATTTCCGTTTGACTTCCAAGACCCAGCAGTTCTAAGGCACCTTGAAATAAATAGGTTATGGTTGGAAATGCACAGAAGGTGATAGCTTTGTAAATGGGTTTACATTTTTCTCCTTGAATTTTTCTGGGGTCATAGTGCTTCTGAATCATTTAATGACACTGTTGGATATCATTTACTTTTCAAATGCAATCCAGACAATAACATTTAGAAAATCCTTAGTATTTAACAGCAGTCTTCTCCATGAATTACCCATTAGAATAGACTGGCAGTAGTGGAATATGCAGGAAAAAAAGCCTTCAGCTCATAGTCTCATCCCCATCCCTATGCTTGCCTGTGTCTGGGGTGTGTGTGCGTGTGTGCGTGCATGTGTGTGTGTTTGTGTGTGGAGACAGAGAGAGGGAGGGAGGGAGAGAGGAAGGAACAGCAGACTGTACACTATATGCTGCTAAGGTAGTAAATAAACCAGTGATGCAATATTGTGGGTCCAAACTACTCTTTGCACTACTTTATTTACAGTAGTAAATAAAAATTATTTTTATACCATTGACTCCCGGGAAGTGGTTTTTATTTGTTCTTTTTCATAGTTGTGGTTGTCATCATACAGAAGTCCTCAGGTCCAGGCATTCTCCTTAAAGAGACAATAAAGGAAGTCTTCCTTATGAGAGGGATTATTTCTGGTAACCCATTAACTTTTGAAGATACATAGGTGGCAGAAGGCCCCTCTCTCCAGGCATCCCAGGCTCAGAGTCTGGCCCCTGTGATGTTAACATAGTATCAGACCTTGTTTCAGGGCCTCTCGCTGCTATGAGGCTGGATTTATATAAATTTTGGGTCAAGTCTGAGTCCCTTCTCTCTCTCCCATGTGTGCTGTGCATTCTGCTCTTATTTTAGCAAAGATTGTCCTTCCTGCTTGCAAAGGAGCCAGATTTTGGGGTCAACAACCCTGGATTCAAATTCTGATTCTGTAACTTACTAGCTCAGTAACCTTGGGTGAGTGATTAACCCTCTCTGAGTCTTAGATTACTGTTTTATGAAGTATGAGTAATAAAATCTGCCTCTTGGGCTTTTCATGAGACTTACCAGAGATAATGTTTGTAAACCCCCGGGACACTGCCCTGAACATGCTTGGTTGTTATTTCCATTGGAAAAAGAAGACCAAGGGGCCAGATAAAGAGCCCTTTGCTCTGCCTAGATCCTCTCTTTATAGCAAACACACCGTTTCTCAGTTGCTGGGAACTGAAGGCTGCTGATGGCTCACAGCTACACCCCTCACAGGGGATTGCCATCAGCTGTAGGGACCTGCCCAAGGTCATGTCCTTGCAAGAGCAGCCCATGGCCAATGGCTTGTTGATACAGGACAGGATTTCTCAACCTCAGAACTGCTGACATTTGGGGTCTGATGGCTCTTTGCTGTAGGCTGCCTTGTGCCCTGCAGGATACCTAGCAGCAGCCCTGGGCTCTCCCCACCAGATGCCAGGAGTGCACACACCCCTACACACCCCCACCCTAGCCCCCAGCTGCCACAGCCAAAAATCTCCAGACACTGCCAAAGGTTCCCTGGGGTGTCAAAATCACCTCCGCCAGGTCATCTTAAGAATGGCCAGAAGTAGGAAAGCAGAGGCTCCTTGCCTCAAAATCACCTCCGCCAGGTCATCTTAAGAATGGCCAGAAGTAGGAAAGCAGAGGCTCCTTGCCTCAATTTGGAATGGCTCTGAAGGGCCATCCCAGCTCCGGGACCACACCTTGGTGGGAGCCTCACTATAGTTCCGTTTCTCCCTCTGCCCGAGTCTGTCTTCCTTGTTGCCATGAAGGATTTCCTGACACTGCTCCCATTAACTGTATGCACAGCTCTGCACCTCAGAGTCTATTTCCAAGGAACATGACTATATTAACCTACTAGAGCTGTTATAACAAAGTACCACAGCGTGAGTGGCTTAAACAGCAGAGATTTATTTCCTCAGAGTTTTAGGAGACTAGAAATCCAAGATCAAGGTGTCTGCAGGGCCACTTTCTTCTGAGGCTTCTCTCCTTGGCTTGTAGAATGGCTGTCTTACTGTATCTTCACACGGCCTTCCTTCTGTATATGTCTGTGTCCTAAATTCCTCCCCTTATAAGGACACCGGTCATTGGATCAATGCCCATCTTTAATTACCTCTTTAAGGGCCTTTTTCCAGATATAGTCACATACTGAGGTACTAAGGGTTATGACTTCAACATATGAACTCTGGGAAGACACAACTCAGCCCATAACACCAACCTGACACAGTGAGAGGCTGCTTGAGGTTCAGAATATGGACTGGTGGGAGCACCTGACCTCAGATAGTTGTCCAAACATGCTCATCTCCAGGTGACTCTGGGAAGGGCTGGAGTGGTTCTAGCACCAAACCCCTGCAAATGAAGCTGGTAGTTTCCATGTCAGTTTGGGCCCCAGCTTTGAAACCCATTCTCTTGGGAGTTCTCAGGCTGTATGATCTGGGTCCAGCCCACTTCACCTCAAGCCTTGACGTCCCTCCTCTCCTCAAGTTCTGAACTCCATTCCCACAAGGCTGGTATCCAAACTGGCTGGAACAGAACCCTGCACAGTGAAGGTAACATGGCATAGAGAGGAAGGGGAAAAGGAATGGAGGGCTCTGATCCAGAGGTGATATTCTTTTACTTCCCTATTGCCCCTCCCCTTGAAAATTCTTAGAACCTTAGACTGTGAAACAAATCTATCACACAGATGTGATTCTTTGGGCCCAGCCAATATTTTTAAATTTTTGAATTAGTACCTAACATCTTGAAATAAAAAATTGGGGGATTCTTCTAAAAAAAATCTAAAGACATAAAAAAACTGGACTTTGATTGCTACATGGCAAGAATTAGCTGAAGCTGAATAGGCCCGCCCCTTTCAGACTGAGCCTTTCTGATGTTCCTCAGTCCCCACCATTCCGGGCTGATTGACACCCAGCCCGCCTAGGTGCCTCAGTTTACAGTCCGTGCTTTGAACTTCCTTTTCTTCATTCTTAGCGACTTCGTTTTGGCAAGTGTGATAGAGATCCCCAAATTCATCTACTGCTCAATCCCTCTCAAGCTTCTGAGAACCGGGAAAGTGGTAGTCTTCCCTTCTACTTTTTGATAGAGGGAGATACCAAGTTGTGAGTCATTTAAAGTCCCAGTAAATTGTCCAAAAAAACTGCAGGATAAAATATCAGTTAAAAAAATCAATAATGTTTTTCCTATACCAACCGTAACTAAAAATATTAGATTAATATTTTTGAAGTATTTGATAAAATATTTAATATTGTGAATGAGATTAAGTATCTCATTTATAGTAGCAACACAGTTATAAAATGTCTACGAATTAGCCTAAAAAGTAAACTCACTAGATCTTTACCAAGAAATCAAAAAAATTTAAAGTATATAAAGAAGGTATAAATGAAGTAATATGCCATGTTCATGGATAGAATAGGAACATATAAATATGATAATTTTTTCAAAATTAATTTATAAATTTATTGATAATTCAATCAAAGTATTGATTTTGTGGGTTTGTGAGGAACTGAGAAGGTAACGTCAAAATTTGTGTGAAAGAGTGTAAGTCCATGCATAGCTGAAGAAAGTTCAAAAAATGAAAAGGAAAGAGAACTGATCTACCAAGTATCAATATATTACAAAGCCACAGTAACAGAAACAGTGAGGTGGTGATGCAGGAATAGACAAATGGTTCAAAGGGAAAGAATGGAGAGCCCAGGACCAGGCCAAATATATATATGGAAATTTGGTATATGAAAAGGTGTCACACAAATCAATTGGACTAGGAATGGAATATTTAGTAAATAGAGTTAGGGAACTGGCTAAGTACATGTAGAAAGGTAAGACTGGAACTGTACCACAGTCCCTTATTTAAAAAATTAATTATAAATTAAAGACAACTATGAAAGATTGAACTACAAGGCAAGTAGGGGAAAATGTAGAATATCTTACATATTTTGAATCTATTTTTTAAACTATATATAGTTTATTTTTTAAACTATATATAGATTTTTTAAACTATATATAGAAATCTCTTTTGAAAAATGAAGGATTTCTTGGATCAAAGACCTAAATGTAAGTCATGAAACCATAAAACTCTTAGGAAAAAACATAGGCAAAAATCTCTTGGATATACACATGAGCAACTTCTTGGGCATGGGAAGGGAAACAAAAGCAAAAATGAACAAGTGGGACTATATCAAGCTGAAAAGCTTCTGTACAGCAAAGGACACCACCAATAGAAGAAAAAGGCAGTCTACAGTATGGGAGAATGTATTCATAAATGACAGATCTGATAAAGGGTTGACATCCAAAAGAGCTCACACACCTCAACAAACAAAAAACAAAGAATCCAATTAAAAAATGGGCAGAGGAGCTGAACACACAGTTCTCCAAAGAAAAAATTCAGATGGCCAACAGATGAGTGAAAAGATGCTCCACATTGTTAGTCATCAGAGAAATGCAAATTAAAACCACAATGATATATCACCTCACACCAGTAAGGATCGCCACCATCCAAAAGACAGACAACAACAAATGTTGGCGAGGTTGTGGAGAAAGGAGAACCATCCTATACTGCTGGTGGGAATGTAAACTAGTTCAACCATTGTGGAAAGCACTATGGAGGTTCCTCAAAGAGCTCAAAATAGAAATACCATTTGACCCAGGAATCCCACTTCTAGGAATTTACCCTAAGAATACAGCAGCCCAGTTTGAAAAAAACATATGCACTCCTATGTTTATCACAGCACTGTTTACAATGGCCAAGAATTGGAAGCAACCTAAGTGTCCATCAGTAGATGAATGGATAAAGAAGAGGTGGTACATATACACAATGGAATACTATTCAGCCATAAGAAAAAACAGATCCTACCATTTGCAACAACATGGATGGAGCTAGAGGGTATTATGTTCAGTGAAATAAGTCAGGCAGAGAAAGACAAGTATCAAATGATTTCACTAATCTGTGGAGTATAAGAACAAAGAAAAAACTGAAGGAGCAAAACAGCAGCAGACTCACAGAACCCAAGAATGGACTAACAGTTATCAAAGGGAAAGGGACTGGGGAGGATGGGAGGGAGGGGAGGGATAAGGGGGACGGGGGAACGAAAGGGGGACATTATGATTAGCATGTATAATGTGGGGGGGGAGGCACGGGGAGGGCTGTACAACACAGAGAAGACAAGTAGTGGTTCTACAGCATCTTACTATGCTGATAGACAGTGACTGTAATGGGGTATGTGGAGGGGACTTGGTGATGGGGGAGTCTAGTAACCATAATGTTCCTCATATCACTGTAGATTAATGATGACAAAATAGAAAATAAAAATTAAAAAATGAAGGATTTCTATTCAAGAAATAATACCATACCCAAAATGGGTAGATTGGTGACAGAGGGGAGCGAGCAGGCATTTGCAATATCCAACACTGCATAGAATCAATATCCACAGCACACAAAGAACACATGCTAATCAAACAAAACAACCAACAAACAAAATCCAGTAGAAGAAATATTCAAAGCATATGGTCAGG